CACACACACACACAAACCCCCAAAGGTCCGCACCGACCCGCTGCAGCGCCTGCACACGCTGCACAACCTGGCAGAAACGCTCGACACTCTCGCGCGCAAGCAGCAGCAGCAGCAGCAGCAGCAGCAGCAGCGAGAGCAGCAGGCGCCGCCGGCCGCCGTGCCACGCACCCTGCGGGACGGGTCCCTCAGGGCGGAAGCTTCCGAGCTGCGGGACGCTTACCTGGCGGCCAGGGTGGCGGAGCTGACGGCTCAGAGGGCCGCCTACGCCAAGGCCAAGTCGGCCGCACAGAAAGGGGCCGCCGGCCGTGCAAAGAGGACGGGCCCGGCGGCGGCGGGCGGCGGCGGCGGCGGCGTAGGGGCGGCGGGGGTGGCGGAGTTCGCGCGCGCGCTCGCGCCCGGCGCGGACGGCGGCGATTTGCTCAGCGGCGGCTTGCTCGGCAAGGGAGGAAGAGTGACGGACGAGGAAGAGGAGGAGGAGGATGAGGAGGAGGGGGCGGCCGTGTCACGAGACGCGTGGTACATCGCAGCCATAGACACGCTCGAGGCCGCCGGGCGAGGCCCCGAGGCGGCCGAGGCCGTGAAGGCGTCCCTGCTGGAGTCTGAGCAGTACAACAGGGCGGGCGCCCAGAACGCCACTTCGATCGCCAGGAGGTGCGGCCGCGGTGCCTCCGATTTTGCTGGGGCGCGGCCTGATTCTTGCGCATCTTCCCCCTTGGCTGGGCGTGCACCCTGTGACGGCCGCCTCCGTTGCGTCCACCGCCGTCGTTGTAGTGTCGCTGTTAGTTTTGTTATTGCTGTTATAAACCGTAAGCTAACGATCACCCCTCAACCTCTCCACCCCTCGACCCAGGTTCTCCACGCTGGGCGGCCTGAAGCTGCTGTTAGCCGCTGAGCTGGACGCGATCGCAAAGACAGGCGCGGGTCAACATGCGCTGAGCCACAGGGTTTGGCGGGGGCAGGCGGGGCCGACATATAGCAAGACGGGCTTTGCAGGGGTTGCTGGGGGCCGCCTGCAGGAGCGGAGACTTCCGTCATCACTGTCAAATGACAACCCAGCCACACAGGTTCCATCCTGGACGCACTCTCAGCTTTCAAAACGCGTTCCCCCCTCCTTCTACTTGCTCATGGCAGATCAGCACCTACGCCAGCACGACCCTCTCTCAGTCACTTGCTGACGTCAGCAAATGCCCACCATCCCCCCGCGCGTCACCAGGTGCCGCCGTCACGACCAACCTTGAGTCCCTCGACGCCAGCTGCGACGCGCCGCCCCCTGCTCTGGTGGAGCAGGCCGCCACCTGCGGCCGCTGCCGCGCAGAGCTGGGGGCACGCGGGCGGCTGTGCACGCACTGCCGGCTGGACGAGGCGACGCTGCAGTGGGAGCTGCGGCTGTTCACGCTCACGACGCGCGCGCTCGCGCTCGGTGCGGCGGTGAGCGGCCGGGGCGCCCCCTGGCCGACGGCCGGCGCTGCTTTGCGGTGGCGTTTTGTGCCAGGGCGCCGCTACCCCGACAGGCCTCCCTCTTGGTTCAATGGCGTGCTGGCAGCGGTGGCTGAACCCCGGTGTCTTGTGTTCATGCCCGGTCAATCCGGTCAAACATTATCGACTCATTTTCTGGCCCCCCTCCCTTCCTCAACGCGCACATGTGCGCACTTGACATGCATTCACACAGGCATACACCATCCCAATCATGACCTGATGCCCCCAATCCATCCTCTCAAACGTGAATGTTTGGTTCGTTTTTGTGGGATGTTACAACACCCCCCACCATTCATCCACCATCACAATGTCCTGCCATTTTACTGGCCCTTGCAATCACTAACGCAGGTGTCAGCAGAGGCGGCCGCGCGCCAGGCGCAGGCCCAGACGCTCCGCCGCATCGGCCGGGGCGGACTCAACGAGACAGGGCTGGAGGGCGGCGGCGGCCTGGACGGCGGCGCGTCGGGCTCTGGCACTGCTGACCTGGCGCTGCTGGAGGGGGGGCGGCGCGGGGACGCGCTGGTGGCTGAGACGCAGGTGCCTGGGGGCTGGTAGTCGCGCGTCTGCCCAGGGTGGTGCGGCGCTGCCAGTACGATTGGGCAGTGCCTGTCTGGCGCCAACCGCGGCTGCACTCGCCTGGGTTTGCCGCTCTGGCCCAGCGCACAGCCGCTGTTTCGCATCGCGCAAGCGCCTCCCCAATCACCTCAAAAATCGATTCACCTCTGCTGAAGCTGCGCTGCGACGGCTCATGCGGCCGTTTTTGCTTTTTAAAGGTATCCGCCACCCAGCGCACATGCCTGCGCCCTCCACGGCTCCCAAGCTGACCCGCGCCCGAAACTTCTTGCAAATCCAGGTGTTCCGCCACCCCTCCGAGGCGGAGCGCACTCTGAGGCTGCTGATGCAGCAGCTGGCGCGCCACGGCGGCAGGTCAGGGGGCAGCGCCCGCGCTGGCGGCGGCAGGGACGGCGCGTCACGCTCTTTGGGGAGGCAAGGTGGCACTGTCATGCACCCGTCAACCAATACATGTGTGTGAATGTATGGACAATTCAGCAATATCACCACTCCCGCACCCACCCACCCACAACCCCCCAAGGCAGCATGCCCCCATAGTGAAGGCGGCCCAGGCCCACCTGGAGCGGCTTGAGGCCACGCGGCGCCTCTTCCTGGCGGCACGCTCCCTCATGCTGGCCCAGCGCATGCTGCTGTGAGTGTGTGAAAGGATTTTTTTTAATTTTGAAAGGCAGGGGGTGGGGGCAGACCAGGCCGAAGTGGGAAGGAGGTGTTGTGGCCTGTTTTTAGGGGGACGCGGGGGGAGCATGCTGGCGCGAGTGCGTTGGAGTGGGGGTGGGGCGCTGGAAGACCCAATCGTGGTGGTAGAGGGAGTGGCTTATCCAGCCGCTGCCGGGAGGGGACGGGCATGTTGTTTGCAGTGGGCATGGTGGGTGGGGGAGAAGAGGGATCAGCTGCCCACCTGCAAGGGCCTGCCTGGAGACCAGCGCGGTCAAACTTTGGCGCTGCGCGATCCGCGACGTTGTGTCGCTCGTGCGTTAGTCAGGGGCGGATGCACAGACCACAGGCGCGCTGCGCACCGCATGCACCCGTGCATGCATTTGTGCGTGCCAAACGCGCGCAGAAGCGCAGACACACGTGCCCTTGTTCAAACGCATCCACAGCTCAAAAGCTCGCCACCATTTCCTCAACCGCCCCCCTTGGCAACAGGCCACCACCCAAATCCAACAGTCGCGCACCCTGCCCCACCCGCCTCCCCCCTGCACACGCTCCCTCATGATACCCTCCACCCGCACCAACCCACATCCCAAACCCCAACCCCGCCCCCGAATGCGCTGACTCAGCTACGCCCACGATGAGCTGGAGATGGCCACCCTGCGCATGAGGCTGCGGCTGCCTGGGGAGAGCGTGGCGCCCCACGAGGCCGTTTACAAGGTGAACCGTGCAATTGTCGGGCGCAGTTGTCATTTTTGGCGCTGCGCTGGTCGGCTGGGCCCCCGAAAGGGAAAGGCCCAGGCACGAGCAGTGGTGATAATCACACTGAACCGGCAAAAATGGCAAAAGCGGCTAGCCCTGGCGGCCGCCGCCGTTTCGGATCCATAAGCAGCTTCTGGCGCTCTTTCGTTGGCACCAGCGAATCAAATGTTAATGCAAGGCAAAGTGTGTGTCGCACCCCACGAGGCCGTCTGCAAGGTGAACTTCGTTGGGCACAAATACTGGGTGGCACATGTTTGCAATGAAGTGGTTGGGTGCGACCTGAAAAGGCAGGCCCCGCGCACACGAAATATTTGCAACCATGAGTTGTAGGGGGCAAGGGGCTTCGTCTGGCGGCCGCTGGCCGTTCTAAGACCACGAGAAGCTTCTGAGGTGCACGTTGTTTGCAGACGATGCCACACAATGAAACGCCAATGTGATCTGGCGCGCCGTGTTGGTTTGGCAGCTGCAGGGGCAACCGCTGCTCCCAGCCTCCGTACACCCTCCACTCCGCCAGAACCCGCCCCCTCACGCCCCAAACGCCCCGCTCGCACTCTGCCACCTCCGTCTGACCTCATCCCGCTAAACCCCGCCCGACCCACTGC